CGCAACATCTGTGCTTGTGGTCAAAGATGATTACAGACAGCACTTTAGTAGCGCGACATGCTTAAGGGGTTTATGAGGTTCCCAGATGAGTGGACAAGGTGTGTGTGTGTGTGTGTGTGTGTGTGTGTGTGCGCTGTCTCCTAGGGTGCCCTGAGTAACGAGGCCTGTCGGTGTTCACTCAAGCAGACATGTGATGATGATGATGACGATGATGATGATGAAGCAGCAAACCCCACAGACACACACAGTCAAAGAAACACTCACAAATTATGCTGCTCGTTTGACCTCACTCTCTCTCTCTCTCTCTCACACTTGTATGCCCGATCCCAGGCAGGCGCACACGCGCGGACGTACACATCTGATCCTCCAGTGTCCTAAAGGCATGTATCTCAGCTGCTATTTACAGAGCCTATTTGCGAGCTAATTATTTCTATTCAGCAGCATAAGCTCCAGTCACACTTCCACACGCATCGCGCTCTTATGAAACTCCCATTTGCAGCTTAAGCCCACGGCCAAGGCACTCACCGGATGACACGGGTCAATTACGCGCAAAAGCAGCCCAACGTCAGCATGTTGCATGCTCTCCGTGTGCGTAACGTGACGAAGGTAAACACAGAAAGCCCGCAGGTAACTAAACAAATTCGTTTGGCCAGCCGAAAGAACTGATCAGACAAAAATCTAACCTTTTAGCTGCAATCAAGCAGTGGACCAGCCTGAGGTGCTGCATTTAAAAGCAATTCAACACCACTTTGAATGCAATCATCTTGGTTGCTATGCACGGCAAACACTTATTCAATCCATTAGCAATGGCCATTTAGGAATGTCAGACCACTGAAGAAATGATGGATGGTCTCAATTTCCGTCCTGAGTGGTCGATAAGATTAATTAATGCAAACTGAACACAAACATTTGAATGTGGGAAAGATAAAGGACGTTAAATGTCACTTGCACAGGGGCTCTAGGCGAAAACCAACCAGACAAATATTTATGCTAAATGACAAATTATATAAAACTTAAAGTGAAAACTGTGACTATGTTCAGAACCGTTAATGGTCTTCCCTTGAAAAACCAGGATAAAAGAGGCTGAAGGTGCCCCCCAAAACCATTCACTCCACCCTTGCACTTGCATGGAGTTCAGCATCACAACTAACCTGGCTTCACAGTCTTCAAGCGGATGGGCTCCCGAAAGTGGCGGATCACGGCGAGGGTGTCTCGGTTGGTAAGGCCGCTCACGGGTGTGCCGTTCACCTCCAGGAGCACGTCCCCAGGGCTGGGCAACCTGCCCACATGACACACGACGGCCTCGGACAACACCTGGCCCAGGTAGGGGAACTCCCCGTGTTCCGCTCCCCCTCGTATCTCCACCACAGAACTGAGCTCGCCGCCGTTCCCCCAAGAAACGGCGCACTCCTGCACTTTGCTCGCCCAATGTTTCTTCTTCTTCAGTGTCTTTGACATGGCTAATCCCTTTTGCCGATTAGCTTCTGAAGATGTCCTAGTACGGTCCCCTGTGGCACGCCACTCTTTTCTCTGGGATGTAGTAGCCTATTCAAGCTCGGCACACGGGCTGCAGGTCAGCGCTGCCTAACATTCCCATTTCTCAAAACTCTGTAGGTAACATCACCCCCAAGTCTAATAGACTGATTCCAGCACCGTCCGACCCAGGTGGATGCGGCCCACAGGTGTCCCGGTATTCCACAGGATAAAGATGACAGCCAGGAAACGCTCTTACTTTACAGAGCCTGAAGCTTATTTCCACATACACTTCCACTGGTATCCACCACAGAGGAACAGATTTGGTGGATGTGTCCTCCAAGCAATGGCAAACAGGTTCTTAAGTAATGATTTAACAGAGGTTGTAACTATAAGACATGGAAACTAATAAACTACAGAGAGGCAAAGCAAACCGTCAGTTTGTCAAGATCACTGCGTGTCAGTATCCCATAAATCTCCAGTTTATATGGAGCCGCCTGCGCTGACAGGGGAGTGAATATCCGCAGGTTTCGAGTTCGCCTTCATCCAGTCTTTCGCGAGAAACTTGATCTCCTCGCACCTGCTCCGCTGACAGGAGCCGCCGCTTGTTGCCGGTAGACCGGCTATCGACACTACCTGGCTCGCGGGACCGTTTTGGCGAAATTTACCCGCCTCCCCCTCGACTCTGTCCACTCCAGACGACCTCTTCCTATCGTCCAGTCCCTCGAGAAACGCCCCCTCACGTCTGGGCTCACGTCGTCACGGCGGAGCGGGTTGTGCCCGACCGCTCACGACACTTCAACGAAAAAGAGTAGCGGAGAAACTTCTGTGTCTTCGCTCGCCTCAGCACTTGTACCAGCGCAGAGGGAGGGAGCTGGGAGCGGCGTCCTCGTCCACCAATGAGGAGACGGGACAGAGCGGGGACGGGATGTGAGCCAGGACCAGTGGGCGGGGTTTACAAGGCTTTGTTTTTTCTTTCCCCACCCGCATTCCGACAAAGCCCCGCCTCTTACGCTGGGATTGGCTGGCAAGCAGCGTTTACTGACCAAATTTGTCTATTTAGCTATTTTTTCATTAAAAATGTTATTGAAATGTAACTTCATACATAATTGTAAACGTGTCTGAATGAAAAAGAGGAGTCTTTCAAATTTCAAAATGTATTAGGGCTTCTTGGTCAAAGTCACTTAGGGCACCAAGAGTAAATATAAAATTAAAAAAATTCCCAAAATGAAAAAAAAAAATTGAATTAAAAAATCAAGAAAGCAATAATGATGCACACACAAATTTTATTTATTTATTTATGTATGTATGTATTTATAATTAGTTGTTTAAATATTTATTTTCCGTTGTATATAGTTAATTATTGTTTGTCTGCGTTTACGTTGGCTTTCTTCTTCCCTGACCAAAATGACTGAAGTAATAATTCTTTTTCATTCTTGATTACAAAGTAATATGACTGGGCCCCCAAGTCACTTACGGCTCCCAAATCTAACAGCTTTGTGTATAAGATTATGTTGCCCAAACAGATATGCTTATCATAGCAGCCATTGTCAGTACGTATATTTCCTCTAATTAAAAAAGAAATACATTTTTAAAAAATCCTAATTCATAAACTGTCGAAAACGGGCTGTTCAACCATATAGGGTTACTACTACCCTACTAGCCAATCCGAGCGGAGGAGGGAATATTACTGGCCAATCCGAGCACGGAGAGGGCGGGCACTGTTGAATACGGGTGGGAAATAATAACATCCACAAGTGCAAACAACCAACGCCATGACAGTGTTAACTCATTATTGGCGGGTCAAACGAGTAGACGGGACGGCATTTTCACAGCTGTGGCTTCAAACTAGAGGCTATTTCATCATTTCCTGAGAGTAACGTCAGCCGCGTGTTCTGTTTTTCGGTAGTTTAGTCGCTAGACTAACAGTTTGCTTCATTTGGGCCACAGAGAGGGATACTGTGGAAAAACATGACATTCGCTAATGAAGCTACACATAGGGTCATTAATTCTAACTAACTTTGTAAATGGCTTTACCTGATATGTTTTGTAGCCTTAATAATGGTTTGGAAAGTTTCCTACACACCTAAGTTGTTTTTTTCAAGGGTTCTTTAGTAAAGGGAATGGTTTTATTTAGAACAGTGAACATACAGAGAACCATTTGCATGCTTAAATGGTTCTTTGCATGGTGAGATGGTTCTTCAGATTTGAAAATGGTTCTATATAGCACCAAAAAGCTTGACATTGTGCCAGTAAAAGAACCCTGTTTGGTGCTATAGAACTATTTTCAAAAAGGCTCTGTATAGAACTGAACACATTCTCCATCAATCTAAAGAACCACTGAAGGATGAAATGGTTCTATATAGAGCTCATGGTTCTGCATTTACTAAAGAACCCTCCAAGAACCATCTTTTTTTAAGATTGTGTAGCTTACTTGTTCTCATTGGCTGTTGGCAGTACACAGCCATGCTAATGGAGCTGAAATGTTTTTGGCAACTTGGTCCAATAGATTTCCACTTTTCATCCATCTTTATGTTAGCTGTAATGCATGCAGCTAGATTACAGGAAAGAACGAAAGAATGACAGCGATGTTGAGGCTATACATGTGTGGTGATCTCCAGACCACCTGAACAGACGATTATAAGTGTAAAGAGTTGTTTATGCTTGTTTAGACTGTGCCATGAAACCTGACATGGATAAGGCTGAGGTCCTCTCTCAAGGTGTTGTGCAATAGGGCCATCTACTGGAGTAGTGCTGTAATTTTACTATATGATTACGTTCCTGGAGAGAAACAGAAAGATACAGTGCTCAGTTTCCTTAGCCAGGTTGAAAACTGGTGTCAATGTGCCTCATTCACCAACCATTCTTAAGAGGACATTTCTTCTTATAACCTACTTATACAGTTTTCATGAAGATTCTGATGTTCACTGCTGTGTTTTTTAATTGGGAATTGTTATTAGGTAAAAACAGAATCTACACACACTCAAGAGCACAAAGATGGAAACAGTTCTGCAGTTTAAGAATGACTTTTTAGGGCCTTTCTGAAGAACAAACTTAAGAAAAAACTTAGGATGATATTGGTGAATGAGACCCAATGCTCTTGAGAAAAAACACCCCACAAATACAAGGCCTAAAACAGAAAACAGGGTCTGAGTTACCTTTAGCTAGCCTACTACACAGGTTCCCAACCCAACCCTGGCCCTCCCCTGGGCCTGTCCACCACATTTTACTGTTTTTTTTCTGCTCTAACGGACTCAGGAAGGGCTTTTTAATTAACTGATCTGGATAAGGTGTGTTGGAGGCACAGTAACAGCAAAAACAGAGCAGGGGTACACCAGGACCACCAGCTGACTACAGAGCTTCACACAGCTTCTAAGTGTCCACTTAGTCCAATGTTATTATCAAGGTGACACAAATGTGACTTGGACAGGGGTAAGTTAAACACACTAGCCCCAAAAGCAGCGCTGCCCGCTGTGTGCTTTGGGCAATCATTAACTGAGATAAGCTGCCAAGGCCCCCTCATGGTCACTGCTCTCAATGTCAAAACCAAAGCCAGCATTCAGGGCTGGAGATGAAGCCTGAAACTTGCCTCTTGTTTGTCTGGCACTCAAGAAAATGAAGGGCAGTGTTGGGAAAATGACTGACTTTTCACTCAAGGCCGGTGCCATGAGCAAGGTAGGAATGATGTGGTGCTGTACATGTATTGATTTTACATTGTATGCTTTTAGAGGTGACTGTCTATTCCACAGCCTATCATGATCAGCGCCTTCTATGTATTCATAATTAACAATTATTCCGTGTCTTAACCTGTACTGTTATGTAGACAGATTTGGGCAAAGTACTTTAAAAAGTAAAGATGAATGCTGAATACTGAATGTACTGCATTCAGAATGTTTTCAAAGGTCATGTGTTCAGAATTCATTGAGAATGCATTTCGAATACACCTTGTTAAGGCATGTGGAAAAACTGCTGTTAATATGTTTAATGGAAAATGTGCTCATCATTTGAAAGAAGTTCTTAAATTCTCAACTTTATGCCTCTAATTGTCTGCTTTAGTCCACTGCTGCCCCCGCAACTGCCACCTTTCTCCTGAACTAGCTCCAAATAAGGCCACTTAAATCTGAATAAATGTATTTTTCATGTGGAATTGTCAGCTTATGGTGGGACACCTTGACATAAAGTGTTAATCTCACTGTTAAAATAGTCCAGTTTTATATGATTTGTTTAAGAAAACAAAAAGAAAAAGAACAAAAAAGATGGAAAGTCTGAACTGGGCCCCTTGAACAAAAGCCCACTTGTGTTCCTAATAAGCCCACTCATTGTCTTATCTCAGAATTACAATTCATTTTAATAACCGATCAGTGTATAAACCACATAAACAGTCTTTTCAGAAGGACTAATAGCAAATATTTATGCTGGGAACCATTATTTGTACAGACTTTCAACATTTTATGCATTTCTCCAGACTAGTCGAATAGTTGACTAATTGCAGAATTTTTTGTGGGCCGCAAAGCACCCCTTGGTGGTCCTTGGACCTATACTGAGGAGGGCCAAGTGGTCCATAGTGGGCCTGTGATGACACTTTGTCATAAAAATCAGTGATCATTGATTTATCAATAAAAAAGAAATATAAAATGTTTTCAGACAGTTTACAACATTAATACATAATAACCCATAATAACAGTGCACAAAAGCAGCTTTGTCCATTTTTTTGGCCTTTGCCTCTAGAAACACCTGACCTTTCTGTTGTCCACTCCAATATTTTCCAAAGTTGTCCAATTTCCCAAAAATGAAATTTCAAAACCAAAAATAATGAGTTTTGTTTCTTGTGGGCCTTCATGCTTTCTAGTGGTAAACAGATGGGACTTGAGGTGGAAAAGGTTGAGAACCTCTGTACTAAGAGATGCTGCCACTCTGCTAATCACAGTTATTTTGTTATTTATGCTTTTACTTATTTATTTTTACCTGAACATATAAACATATAAAACCCTAAGTAGTCTCCATTTCAGTCTCCAAAACTGAAAGATCAACACCAGCATGTTGCAGAATCTGCACTAAATCTGACTCTAAGCATAAAGTTATTATTTCAGTGCTTTCCTGTTTCATGGTTTTCATGAAAGGTGGCAAATTAGAGACTGTCAGAGGAGTCGTATCATCCATACAATTATAAATTTAGTTATGTTAATTTTTAGATTTTTGATACTGTATTGTAATGTGTTAAAGACATGCTCCTGTCTTTTGTCATGACAGTCATGAGAGATGCTTGAAGTACACCTCCCATGGACGTGCACGTGGCTTGCAACATCTCTAGCCTCAAATGTGGTAAGACTGAGACTCTTCTTTCTGACAGGGTGACTATAATACGAGCAAGCAAATGATGAGAGATCAATGATTTTAAGTTTACTAGCTTTCATTGTAAAATTGCTGTTAGTACAGTTAATGATAACAGCACCAACAATTTAAAATGTCAGTGTGAATTAGCAAGGTCAGTTATTACACCCCACATCCCCACATGATTATTAGGAATACATGATTATATCAGAATCATACCAGATAATTGTTACGATTTTCTGTCATATGAACTAAAGAATGTGATTCTAATATTATTCAAATCTGTTTTTAGATTTTTTTTTTCTATCAACCAACCATTTTATGTAACATAAGACTGAAAAATTCAAGAAAACGTACATTAAGTTACATAAATAGCTACAATAGTTATGCGGTGATTTGCTTCTGGATTGTCTTCTGATGGTCCAGCAGTAGTCAGCAAGCATACTAGGGCCCCATTTCTCTAGAAGCGCTAGAAAATTTGCTTTTCCATGTTGAGAATGTCTTTTAAGATTACTAGTTTTCAGTGTAACATGCTTTGTAGCGTGATTTATCTAAATTTCTGCATAATTAAGTCATTCACAGTGGTTTGGTGTGGAATGTTCTGTTCTTGAGAAACTTGCCAAGTCGGAATTGTTCTCAGCGGTGGTAATAGGGACGAGGAGTCCACCTCTAAAAGCCCCCTTACAGAAAGTTAGTACATGAAATGGTTATGAATATGCCGCCTGGTGCCCAAGACATTGTTTTACAATAATTCTGATCTAAAGTTTAGATTTAAAACCTATTTTTAACAATCCATCCATAGCAGTGAGTTACATGCTGGATGTTGTGAGGTAAAATAGTCCCCAAAGAAAATTTTTCAGGTTTACCATCGTCGAGATTACATTTAAAAACGCACATGTAATTTGAAATCAATTTAGTATCACCACAAGTGAAAAGAATTCTGAGCTCTTAAGTTTCTCTACAATGAAGCATTTCATATCAAACCACTCTGAAGCATCTCAGCAACTGAATTATGCAGACATTTTGAAAAATGTTGTGGAATTCCCCTTTAAATCACACTTCTACAAGTAAATGATACATTTCTCTGTAATGCTAATGCAGGTGGATTTAGTCCAGGTTTCTACTGTTTAAAAACTGTATACACAGATATGCACATGGAAAATATCAGATGTTGGAATCAGCCCAGAATTCCCATATTGTTGCATTCCTGATGATTATGATTAAAGTGTTAGAGTTAGAGTGATTAACTACCTGTATGCTTTATAAATACCACAGTGTAATGATGCTGACAGTAAATGGCAAATGCACTTTTACCACCTTTTATAATTATGATTTTTACTCACTTATGCTACCCTGTTATTTGCAAATAACATGATGATGGAATGAGACATTATCATTGACCATTATATACCAACAACTATCCAATAAAACAAAGTTAAATTAATACTCCAGTGTTTTTTCAACCTGATCTCTCTGGCAACTGGCTTATTATAAGTTCTATTAGTGGCTTCTGTTATAAGTGTGTTTCGAGTTAACAGCCTTTCTGTTACAGGGAAACTCATCAACATCGTTGTCTATGATAATCAAACATACTTTACAGTACGGATGTGGCTGAATTCTGAGTAATCCTTTAATAGCTGCTTACACAGGACTATGATTTATGGTAACAGTGCACTTCTCTGTTCTGTGTGTGAATACACAGATGAGGAAAGCTCAGGTCCTTTAGCACTCATCATCATTCCCAGTCTCCTGGCTCTTAGCACGCTGACCATCGTCTCCCTGATAATATGGAGCTTCTTGACAAAGAAACCATCAGTTCAGAGGATCTTGGTTTCCCTACAGCACAGAAACGGTATGACTGATTATTCCTTTAACTGCTGCTTGATCTGTGTGTGGCTACTGGTGAGGTCATAGCTTAAACATTCATCTTCATGTGCCTGCATTCTTAGCCTCTTACCACACGCATCAATGATTAAAGTCTCATATGAAGGCCACTTGCAGGATATTGTCTTTCAGATAAATGCACATGCATTTCAACACTGATTTTTTTTTGCTGGGCATTGTCTTATATATAGCTCAAATCTATCTGAAATGTAGCAGATCAGATGTTTGGTGTCTGAGCTGCTTTAATTCTGCAATGAAGCTACAAGGCTAATGTAGCTAACAAGTCATGGAGGTTAATACTCCACCAAATAGCAACTGTGCAATGTGCATGCCTAATCATCACAGTTTCTGGCACTCAGTGGTATGGGAAAAGCACTAAATCCAGTCTTTAAGGCATTGCTGTTTTAAGCCAGGGGTTCTCAACCTTTTCCACCTCAAGGCCCACTTGTTTATCACTAGGAAGGCCCACAAGTAAACAAAACTCACCATTTTTGCTTAAAAATGTAATTTTTGGGAAATGTTCAACACAGTGTTATGTGGGGCCTACTCTTGTATGTGATGCGTATCAGTGAACGTGAAATATAAGCAAAATATTGGAGTGAGTGGACAACTAAATGGTCAGGTGTTTCTAGAGGCAAAAAAATGTGATGTATCTGCCTTTGTGCACCGTTATTGCAGGGCTTATATTAATGTTGCTAACTGTTTGAAAACATTTTATGTTTCTTTTTATTGTTAAGTCAATTATTTTTTCACTGATTTTTATGACAAAGTGCCATCACAGGCCCACTACAGACAACGCCCATCTCAGTATTGAGTCCCAAGTACCAAGGGGTGCTTCGCGGCCCGCTTGAGGTCCTCGGCCCAGGGTTGAGAAACCCTGTTTTAAACTATGTGATGTAATTTTGCCTAATTTTCAATTCCAGCTTGTACACAGTCATACACACAGCCTATAAGCCTATTTGAGAATAGTTCTTCTCAGGATTTTTTCCCCCAATTTAGTCATGTGTAATTTCTACCAGCCAGCTGCATCGTTCAAACTGCCTATTGATATCGATAGTGACACCTTGACTTTGATATCAAAGTGATATCTTTTTCAAACGCTTGTATTTTGGAGCAGACATTCCCCTTGGCTCGCAGGTCCTACAATTCACTAGTTCATCAGTATTGAATGGCTTATAATTTTATTATGCTCAATAATATAGAAGTAATTCAATCGGTTAAAGCATTGAAATTCCAATTCCAGCCATTGTTTGCACAATGCTAATTGGTGAACGTAAGCTTTGATTACTTATTAGTTACGTTAGCCATGTAGCTCTGTTACAAAACTAAAGAAGCAAACTTCAGACACCAAACATGTTTTAGCTGGTCGACTACATTCAGGTTAAGGGCAAAATTATTTTTCACCAAACTATTTCTTTTAAGTGCACATTCTGAAATGCTGCCCCCTCTCGCTCTGTTTTAGGGCCTTCATCCCTGCAGACTGTCTCAGTTCAGCACCTCGAAGTGATGCTCTGAGCTCATGGGAGATGCCTGCCCACTACATCCTAGAGGAGGTGGAGTTTCTCAAAAATGGACGCTATGGACCCACCTGCAAAGGCCAGCTAAAACTAGATGGGGCTGCCACTGCTGTGGTGGTTAAAACTTTCAAGGTAAATGGAATAATCGAATTGTACAAGTCTTCTGTCCAAAAAAGACACTATATTGTGGATTTAAGGGTCAGTTATGGACGAAAAGAATGGATCAGTCTATAAAGCCAATGTGGCTTGAAGAACAAGCTCTTAGCTGAATTTAGGAGTTTACTGCCCCCTCATGGCCACAGAATGTAAGAAAATACTTTAATAAAAGTGTGTTTAGTGACAAGGGGGTTATTTTTCATCTGTGGCGTCTTTGCATGTTACATATGAATTTTTAGATGGTAGGGTAACTTGGCCGGCAGGGGGGCGGCCCTCAAGGTAAAACACCTCCCCCATTTATTTCCTGTTCTCATCAGATGATCTCAACACACTTACTGAGTGTCTATTAGCTAATTATTTTTTATTGATTTTGTCTGGATGACAGCATACCTAGGATTTATCTCCCCAGAATCCTTTTGGGCTCAGTTCATTTGATTTATTAACTGGATAATCGTGATCTATGCATTTATATGTGGTTGTTCAATTTCTTTGTTTTTTAAAAATATATGTGATTATTGGAGCCATTGGAGGGGGCTTGAGGAGAATACATTTGTTTTTTCTCATGAAGTGACAGTGTAAAGTTAGACATTTGGGGTAAGACATCGCCCCAGACACTAGGCAAAAGCTCCCCTTTACATTACTTAATATTTTAGTGTACTTTGATCAATAACAGTTCATGAAAAATGCAAAAACTAGGAATGACATAATTATGGACATAAATTACAAGACAGAGATTATACAGTCTGTAAAATGTAACTGACAAACTGCAAGATTTGCTAGGGGGGCTTTCTACCTCAAGTAGGGTCTGTCTTTATCACTGTATGCATCATTATCCTGTACACACTAAACTCATGCACAGATATGGTTTAGCTTTAGAGTAAATAGGCAGCGTTCTGAGGGCACTTCCCCCTACATAGGTTGACATGTCATCAATAAAACTTGAATTAGCCTATTATATGCAATAGCCGATTACCATAGCCTACTGTGTGTTGAGATTTAAAATTGTTAGAAGGCCTCGTGTTTGTAAAACTGAAATCTTGCATAAGTTGCATCTGTTTCAGGCGACTCAAATAGTCAGGAGACAAAGGTGTTTGTGGAATTGGCCCTGTTTCACGCAACGGTCTGCAAGCATGACAATGTTGTGCGAATGTTGTACTGCCAGACAAATCGTTTTCCCATGTACCTGATTTTTGAAGCAGTTGCTCCAGGAAACCTACTGCATTTCCTGTGGAGTCTTCGAGAGGTGAGAACTGCAGCTGGTGATCAAGTGTTTAAATAATTTACAGAATGCATATTGTGGAAAAAAAACTTATGAATTTGATCTGCACTGTTTAGGATGCGTCCGGACTCTGTCATCAGCTGCAGTGTTTTTCAGAGAAGTCTGTGTATCTAGTGGCCAAACAGGTGGCCTCTGGTTTGGTGAGTCCCTGTCTTGTCAAATATACAGCATGTGCACTTTGAGCCCTCTTAAGTACAGAGTTACACTACATGGTTTTATGAATGGACATTTTGGAGGTGACAACACAAAAAGATATGAGTATGTATCAGTATGAAGCTTTTATCACATGATCTGTACATTCAGACATAAATTTTACCGCCTATTAATGCAGCAAACTATTTTGCTTGGTAACCATGATCCACCGTTATCAAACTACATAGCTTGGAAGATGATCTGTTTATTATAACAGCCCCCCTTAAAAGTAACACACAGCCTCTCATGGCTTTTTGCTTTATTTACTGTCTCAGGATTACTTGCTGTCAGAGCACAGGCTAGTGCACGGCTATGTTGCAGCCCAAAGCATGCTGATTGGTTCTGGGTTCTCAGTGAAGGTGTCTGGATTGGCTGTGGCTTTTGAGACACGGCAGACAGGAATGGTAAAAAAGGAAGAGGAGGCCAAAGTGCCTCTGAAGTGGCAGGCACCAGAGCGACTGATGAGGCTCCCCATAACATCCAGAAGTGATGTGTGAGTCTACCAACACAATGTTTAGCCCTCTTTAACGTCCCAGTTACTTTACTCAGTGAAGAGCACATTGAAAAAGAAAAACTGAATTTGATATTTGAACATATGAATAAAATAAAGAATATTACAGCACTGTGAAGACACCCTTGGAGATGAGAGAATTTATAACTTGGGGTTAAATTAATTGGCTTATGCTTTACGTATAGTAAAAAAAAAAAAAGATGAAAACATCAAAATATTACAACTTTCATTAAAACATTTTTATTTTTTATTGCACAAAATCAATTTAACATTTTTATTTATATACCTCCACATTTTTATAGTATAAGGTACACAATTGTACAGTATTTTACACTAGCTGTTGGAGTGCCTTTAACTCTGGACCACTACTTGCTTCTCACATCTTCAGTAAGCTCTCTGCAGTGATGACTCTTTACAGAATACATATATAATATTTATCAAATGTTCCAGGTGGTCTTTTGGAATCCTCCTTTATGAGCTGATAACTTTAGGTAAGGTATCAACATTTCTCTGACATTATTGACTGTTTTTTCAAGATAAACTGTACATCTGCTGCCTTTGCACCATGGAATAATTTCAATGGGAAATTTGGACATTTGAACTCTAATCAAGAGGACGTTTTAATGTCTACTGAAATACTTACAATACTCACACCAAAATACTCACATCTATCATCTACCATCTCTCTTATAAGGTGCTCCTCCCTTCCCTGAACTGGATCCATCAGAGGTGTGCCCCAAAACTTTAGCCACTTACAAGATAAAAAGACCACAGAACTGCGGAGGAGCCCTGTATGTCAAAAGACAGATCAATTCAAATATTACCACTGAGCATAATGTTACTAAAATTATCTGTTTATGCAATGTTGTAAGTCATGCAAAGGCAGCATTAGAGCAACAGAACACAACCTCTAATACTGCTGAAAGACAATGAGAGCAAATAGCTATCAATTAGCATTAAGGAAATAACATCATGCTAACTGGTGACTACTAGCTAGCATTCAGTTATCCTCTTTACCATGTTTATTTGCGCCCTCTCTTGCAGGTATGACCTCATGAAATATTGTTGCATGTGGGACTTTAAGGACCGCCCAGTGTACCCTGCTATCATCAAACTGCTGGAGTCGTACATCCACCTGGCTGATACGAAACCCCTATCTGCAGCACAAACAACAGACATCTGTGAATACATGAAGAAGGCAGGTCTGCCGCCTTGAGTGTTTAACACAGCTTCCTTCTAAAATAAACTTTTAGGAAGCTGTCTGCATGTGCAGCAGATTACACTGCACCGGAGCTGTCTTTCCATTGATGACAGCAGCATTTTTTAATGTGTTCACAATTGTCAGTTTATTAAAGATGGAACAGACTACTGAGCACATCTAAATCAAAAGTGAAAAATGTGATGACTTATACACCACTCCTTTTTTAATAAAAGTTCAACACAAGTGGTGCAACTTCACACAAAATAATGCCTGTTGTGTTACAGTGTTTTGTTATCTTCCATTAAACCTGTAAACAGTACATTTAGGCTATTTATGGAAGATGATTTCCCTGGACATATGCAGTAAACTGAGCATGGAGGAAAATCCCTTAAAACAGGTGCACAGCTAGACCAGCAAAACACTTTGGCAGGATCTTAAAATCATCTCCCAAATGAAACCAACTGCTGCCTAAAATGGTCCTCTGCCATTAGTTTGGAGGGGGCTACTGTAGGATGCACATTATTTACCAAAGTCACACTTAATCCAGATAGTAGGTGAGCTAATTCCCTGAAGCCTTTATCTGCATGATACTGTAGTGGCTTTTACTATGTAGTGTGGCCTACGTGTCACTAAACCAACCACTGGCAGTAAAACAAGCTAAATCAAATGCCAGTCACCTCTTAAAAATACTGCATTAATGTACTGATAATATTTTAAATGCCAATGGATGAGTATGTTATTTCCCTTTAAATCAAATATCTGTTCTGCCAATACAGACGTGCCAATTACTGTAAATATATACATTAAATACTTGTTCTAATCAGTAGTTCTCATCTATTTTCCAACAGTAACCAGAAAAATATACTCCTAAAAACAAATCCACCAAAATAATATTATTCACAGCAAAGTTGACATTGTCTGACGTTTTGACGGAATCCGTTTCTGTGATTCGGTGCCATCGCCACACGCATCAGAGACAACAGAATACTTCTGCGTCAACCTCTGTGAACACAACATTCAAAGTCACTGGTCCTTGGATCACTCAAATACAAAAGCACTTCTGAGGCAGCCTGCAAAAAGGCCATTTTGCTCTCTAGGTCAGGCAGATTTCATCATCATGACCTTGAAATTCATCACCTCAAAACTAAAACAATAAAAAACAAACAGCATACAATGTCCAGAGTTTCTTAGATTGAGCAATGGTTTGATCCTCCATGGCAACAAGCAGCAGAAGGTTCCAATGGGGCCATACAGGCCTTCTTCAAACCTGGAGTGTCAGAGTTTGGGCCAGATCACGGATGTTGTTACACTTTGCAGCTCCACAGGGCCGTTGGGAACAAAATGTACGAAACTGACCATAGCAAGTAGTACACACAAGCAGGTGGGAATGAGGAGCAGAAGACCATTACAACACCTGGAAGGAGAAAAGAAAAAGCAACATATCAGTGCATTACTGACCATTTTTACAGAGTATTCAATGAACAAAACCCAGTTCCAAAAAAGATAAAACAGTTTGTGAAATGCTAATAATAACAAAAAGCAGTGACTAGTAAATTCTCTTTGACCTATACTAAATTGAAAGCAGCATAAAAACACATCCCTGAAAAAGATGTCATCTGAGGCAGCATATGTTGCTCTGAACTGTATATTTTATACAGTTAATGTTGCCTCCACATATGTGCAAGTTACCCACACCATGGACACTAACACACTTATATCCTGGCTTTTGACTTTGCACTGGTAACAGTCTGGATGCTCCTTTTCGTTTTTTTGGCCAGAACACAACATCCAGGCCATTGTTGGCATATGGTTTCTGCTGTCCACAGTGCAGTCCTAACTTTTATATGTCTATGCAGTGACAAATGGTGTTTATTGATCACGGTTTGTCAAAAGATTCTAGTTCCCATGTGGTAATGTCTATCACAGAAGCAATTCAGTTTTAATTCAGTGACATTTGAGGAATCAAAGGTTAGCTGCACTCAGGATTTAGGCCTTGCCCTTTATTCATGAGATTTATTCGGATTCCCTGAATCTTCTGATGGTATTGTGCACCGTAAAGTGTGAAGTCCCTAAATTTTTTGCAATTACATGTTGAGCAATGTTGTTCTTTGACTGTTGGACTTTTCACTTAGGTAAAATGCCGAGCCTCAACCTATCCTTTCTCATAAAGGACTACGCCTTCCATGAATACTCCTTTTATACCCGAGCATGACTGCATAATCTGTTTAAGTTTCTGAACATTTCACAATGTCCCTCGTCTTAAAGGACCTCTGCCTCAACTTTTGTGGAACCTGCTGCAGACATCCATTTCACAATGAGCGAATATTTACAAAAAATAATGGATGTTTTCATTACTACTAGCAAAAAAAAACAAACGAATTTAAGTTTCTGTACCTCCAACATAAACCACTTTCTTCCAGGCCTGGGATTCCAGCACCCTGTCATGAGGATAGAAGCCCTGGCTCACCATAAAGAGGATCATGGCCACAGCAGTGACTCGAAGCACAGCCATATTCCCCCCAGTAAGGAGAGATGTGCAGGAGAGAATGGCAGAAGAATAGATGCATGGCAAGCCACGGTACATGAAAGGAATACCTGAGCAGGACAGAACAAGGATCATGTTAATTTAAAAAATACCAATACAAAAAATAATTGAATTTACATTTTTTAATCTTTTTATGATACCACTTTACTACCTAGGTGGGTAAGTGGAGGACATCTAAGTGGAAAATGGATCCAGATCATTACAATATTCTTTACCCAAATACAGTTGCTCTGATCACTTTCCTAAACATACACACAGACGATGATCTCAATACAACCTTAATGAAACATGTAGTACTATGGCACTGTAACAGAGATTTGGGTAACCTGTCTATCTTGGCTCTGATGCAGTTAACCAGGATATTCTACTGACTGACTGAAGAACTGAGTTAGCCTCTTTGGCTCAGTTTCAGAATTGTTCAAATCCTGCTTTAAGAAATCATGAATACTATGATGCACTGATTACTTAGCTTTCCAAGTGCCATGAAACATCTTGTATCATACTAGGCCTTTTTTATTTAATCTGTATATACTTCTGTTAGCCAGTACAATTAATAAATAGAACATTCGCTTTTCATCAGTTTACCGAAGTGTCACAACCATATCTGTTCTTATTAACTTATGGTTGATTGACAGGTTTATATCAGTTTCATGTTTAATGCAGTTGATGTATCACAGTTTTTTTTGTTTTACAAGAAATACTATCAACAATGCTATTACCCACATAATAATTACAAGGTTCTTGATATTCTCCCCCCATGCTGACAGTGAGAAACTTACACGAACCATGTAATCTTACTTTGCGTACTTAACAATATTACAATTATCCATGTTCAGAATGCTGGCAGATTCCTGATATGCACCAGCATGAGGAATTACGCCAGCTTTCAAATCCCATCACTAGCTATCGGCATCCTTTTCATTTAAAAGCGTCTTTATTATCTTTCATTATCATTATCATATCTTTTTAGCTGTTTGCTGGATATTTTTGGTTGGTGGACTATTCTCAGTCCAGCAGTGACACTAAGGTGTTTAAAAACTGCAGGAGCACTGCTGTATCTGATCCATTCATACCAGCACAACACACACTAACATACCGCCACCACGTCAGTGTCACTGTAGTGCTGAGAATGATCCACCACCCAATAATACCTGCTCTGTGGGGGTCCTGTGGGTGTCCTGACCACTGAAGAACATGGTAAAAGGGGGCTAACAAAGTATGCAGAGAAAGTAATTGTAGAACTACAAAGTGCACCTAAATGATAAGAAGAGCTAATAAAATGGACAATGAGTATAAAAACAAGGAGGTGGTTCTGATATTAGGGCTCGTCAGTATTCCATGCAGCCCCTTAAGGAATTTACAAAAGTATTTGTTCAATATTGCTTTTAACTTTTTTGGTTTTGTTAAAATTTATGTTCTTCTTCTTTACTGTTCCAGAAATATTGTTCTCTTTCTGTTCTTGTTTTTCTGATGTAATCTGTTTTAAACTGCCATTTTCCATATTATTATTGTTATTATTACAACTACTACTACAATTGTTATTTAGATGGCACAATACCACATGTTCTTTGTATCGGTCCAATACTTTTTTTTTAAACATTTATTCCTTTAAATTCCGAGTCAGCATTTTGCTGATACACAGTATTCGACTAGTGTCATGTCTATTACCTTTTTTTATTAATGCATTATTTGTAAAGATTGTGCTTCAACTCTGCAAACACTGGTATGAGTAATATGTTGTGTGTCAATCAGATGGAGGAGCATGTTTCTCTGTTAAGTAATGGCAAGAGACGGCAGGTTCCTCACCGCTAGAGAAGAAGACGAGGCGGACTAACACAGAAAGCACATAGCACGTGCAGAGGAGGTTATCCAGGAGACTAGGAGTCCTTAGTAGCAGAGAGGTTGCAATTCCAAAAGTTGTGAAATCAGCAAAATCGTCCAGTTTGGCACCTAAAAAACAAGATGAGAAAACCAAAGCCATAGCTTAACTGCACTGCAATTCCCTTTACTCACAAATTCATCATGCCTGAGGTAAGATGAATATTTTCATTCCTATGTCAAGTAGTAAAAACAGGTGCTTCAGCAAGAGCTTATGACAGCTGCCAGTGTTAATCCTCTCTATGGGAATTTTATCAGCCTAAGGTCACCTTTCCACTGTGGGCTTAGGGGTAAATTTCCGTGTCAGCCCCAAAATAGCTCACCACTATCATCCTCTGTAAACAATCCACTGGGGTCTCTTTATCCCTGTAGTTTGGGGGGCATGTTTTCGTTGGCCTATGTACATGGGGTGATTTTGGCTGAGGCTCATGCAAGCACGCTGGAATTCCAATCCCAACGTCAACCATTTGAGCAATGTCAGATATGCAGGGATTCCAAAGCGTCAGGATAAAGCAGACAATTAGAGCCTGATCCCCCCGAATTAGACGGACTAATCAGAAAGTGATTGTTCGATTGACAGAAAGGGGAGGGGCAAAGAGGGCAAAACAACACCTGGCAATAAGGTCACACAGAAAAAACGAGCATAGAGCACAAAGCAACTGAAGAGGACAAGGCACGGGGCATTGTGGGAGCACTGCCGAGCTATTTCAAGCAGCTGGGCGGACGTGACCGTCCACACACAATTGCATAGTTTCCCACTCAAGAGTTTTGGGGGGGGGGGATTTGCTTCAGTTGTTTAGGGTGACAAAGCAAGACAATAAAAAACACTAACAATAAAGCACAACTCCAACAAAACCTCAAACCATGTAAAAGGATGTTTTTCCGACGATGACTTCCCTCTACATGGGAAGTTGTTTATCAGATGTGAAGCTGGGTTGCTGGACAAAATCCAAGAGTAAACAATCACATGCAACATGAAGATTAAATTGTGGCGTGCATCAAAAGTCAGAGAAAGTCGTCAGGAATCAGAGGAGAAAAGGAGGGAGTGGAAATTGTCACTGCTTTAGGCTGACATTCTTACAACTTCCTAACAGAAATTAAGGGCACAGTTCACTTTCCAACGCACTCACCCAACGCAGAACAGGCGTTCAGTCGCCTAGCAACTGCTCCATCTGCCAAATCCAGCAGGTAACCAATCAGCACTAGCCAGCATGCAGCATAATGGTGGCTGTGGAAGACAAGAGGTTATAGACGACAACACAGCATTAAGTGCTACAGTGTTTCAAAATCATCTTCACTTCAGTTTCTCTGTGACTCAGTAACGTTCAAAAGTTAGGAATCACTGTTTTCAATGATATAAAACCAATTATGTTTTAAATAAATGTAGAAAATGATTCTGACATGCCACTACTACTTTACAGTTTCAGAGGTTTCAAATTTGTAGAAAGCTGTAAAAAATTACAAAAAAGTAATGTGTCCAAAATGATGGAGAGCTGTAGGCACTTCCATAAGAACTGAGAAAGCTGTATAACATTGAGAATGAAATAGTAATAAAACTGATATCCAGAATGCTTCCTATTTCAAAAGAGGTTGTTAAGCCTTGACGCAAATAACAAAATGACTGTAAATATATAATTACAGTATATAATTTATCACTTTCTCTTTGTTTCTAAAACCCCTTTGGGTGTCTAGATTTGTTTAGAAATTAAATTTCAAATCCACATTGCATTAGTTATTGTTGTAAATAAAATTTAAAAGTGAAAACACAGTGAGAACCAGAGTGAATAGTGGCTGTGACAGATATAGAAAGTTGTAAAAAGAAGCTGAAGTTGTATGCTAAGTTGAAGTAAGGACATAAGAAAAGCAACTGATATCACTTGCCACAGCTTGAAGTAACTTTTATCATTAGTGTACAAACACCAGTGGCCTCACCCGTTTAGACTGCTGAGAATGGAAGCCATCCCCATGACCATGTTGGCAACAGACAGAGCATTGGCAGCATTTTTACGGGCAAACTCCTTGAGCTGGACCCAATTGGCCCGTTCTCTCAGGAACAGTTTGTTGGTGCGCTGGAAAAAGCCTGAGACCAAGCAGAAAAGGTAATGATTATACAGTGGCTGTTATTTTGACTGTGTTTACCAGTAGAAAGCCTGGTATGAGATGAGCTTACTACACAAATGAATTCTGCAGATTCAGGTGATAAGCTGATCCCAGATCATCACTTCACAGATCATTTTTAAATCTAAATATATTTTATGAACAATATACACATAAATCTGCATGGGTTTCCTCTGGGTGCTTCGGTTTCCTTCCACAGTCCAAAAACATGAAGTCAAACGAACTGAAGATGCTAAATTGGTGTGAATGCGTGTGTGAGTGTATATATCTGTGTGTCTGCCCTGTGATGGACTGGCGGCCTGTCCTGGGTGTTTCCTGCTTTCCGCCCAATGAGCGCTGGGATAGACTCCAGCACCACAACCCAAGAGGATAAAGGGTTTAGATAATACGTGTGTGTGTGTGTGTGTGTGTGTGTGTGTGTGCATACATGTATTTGATGAAGTTATTTTTATTTAAATCTAAGGCAGCTACATTTGGACATTCACCAGACAATTCTGGAAAAAAAGGATTTTCTGAGTCCACTTTACAGCAAAAATAAATATCCTTGTTATAACAAAAACAAAATTTTGCCAAATCTGCTTGTTTTTTCATGTTAAACAAAGGCTAGTACATTATTATCATATATACAACAATCAGAAAGTGATAAGAACAAAAACATGCCATTTACAGCCAACAGGAAAAACAGTATACCACTTATGGCAGAACTTACAGCATAATTTTATAATAAACAGACCCTTTAACTTATCTTGCAACCATGCTTATAATAAAATAACAATTAAGTTATTGAAAAGCTTGTTTCATGAACAAATCATACAGTTGTTAAGGGAAAAAAGCTGTTTGAAGAGCAAAGTATGAGAAACAAAAAGCTTGCAACAATCACAGAGAATGGCAATCAAGTGCTGTGTGCAAAGATAGGAATGCTCGTACTGTATTAAGTCACTAGAAGAAAAAAAAACAATGCAAGCATGATGCCTTTCAAGAATCCTTAAGCATGATCAGGCATATTTATAACAAGACCTTAGAATCATATGGTTCAGTCTGACAAAACTGTAGGTCTAATTTAAGGTCTCATGTTCCACATGTCCATGAGGTTTTTGATTCCTCATGTTTGAAATCTATAATTATGGTATCTAAGAGTTCAAATAATAGTTACTTGTTTTAGTCTTCCAACATTAGTAATTCAGTTTTGTCAGTTACAACCTTAAAATACCAAGGTCTTTTCATACATTAGATATTGAATGTCAGTTTACCACACAGCTAAGCCTAGTCTCAGACTACAAGAACCAAAATATGGATGTAGTCATATGCAATAGTTTGAACAACCCCAGTCAAATTACGTTTCTTTGATTTTCTAAGTGAAAATAAGTTAACACATTCTCTACAGGGGACAAACGTAAATATGTCATTTTTCTGCTCATTTTAGTGCACAATTTCCATTTATTTGCAGTATTGAAAAAAACATAAAATGGAAAACATAAACTTTTTCACAGGTCAACTTTTAAGTTTTCTTTCCCTCAACATGTTAAATTCAGCACATAAACAATCATTATGCATTAAAATCTGCAAAAGCACGTCTGCAGAGGATGTGTTATCTTATATTCATCCAGAAAACTAACATGTAATGTGACCGGGGCAGCCAAACTTTTGCATATAACTTTATTTCGTTCAAGACTAGGTTTCAGCTGTATCTGGAAAACTATCTTTATTCACAACTGTACTTGCACTGAAATGGTCAAAGTATCTAACTGCATTAGTTATTGAAATATTGTAATCAGGTTAGTTAAAAACAGCACTCATACTCAGCCACAGAGATGTTCTGACTGCCTCCTGCATAGAAGGTTATGTGAACAAAATTTCAAACGATTTTAAATGTTCATTCAACAAAATGCAGATCAAAATCAAAAGCTTTATGCCTCGCCTATATTTCAGATATTATAACCCCAGCAACAGTCATCACATGTCTAATCTAACAAATTTAAGACACTGAAAAGGTACACATGAAAAAATCCCAAAACAAACAATCCCAAAACACATCCCAAACACCTCAATTATGCGGCATATATGTATATGTATACGCATATATATATGCAGCCTCTGTTTTAAACAATCTTCTGTTAAAATATAAAATATAATATAAAATGGAACAAAACAAGCCATTTACTGTTCTATTTAAAAGTATGTGAAATTTATGTTGGGATGTGGGTACCTATTTCAAATGGTTGTTTATTTGTGGCAAGTAAAAAACAAAAACAACAAAAAATCAGTTATACTTACATAGTTTTATTTACTGCCTCATAGAGATGCACAATAATATTGGTACTGTAATGATATTAGCAGGTAATTGCTTAAAATCCACTTACCTCTGGTTATTAGGATGTGACTTTTATAAATGCAGTGCAGGTGCATTAACTAGCCTTAAGCATGCCTTAAGTATTATGCATTATGTATTAGCTCCTGTTTTGAAACAGACCAGACGTAATCAATGGGCAATTTTCATTATTTTCATAGCCCTGCAGCCTGAAATGTTTGATGCGTCAGATTTAATGTTTTTATTGCTTAAATTAATAAGCATCATTATCAGCAGAAACAAACAAATATGGTGCATTCCTACTCATTCACAGTATATGGGTCAATGATATGCATTTTTTGTGCCCAAATCTATTATTTTCCTATAAATAATTTAATAATACATATCATTCTGCAATACCTACTTTATGTGAATACATTTTCTGTGTGTCAAAAATAAAACCTATTTCTCACAAAGTCTAAAAATGTCAGGTGGTGCAACCATACATGCAGATTAAATAAACTAAATTAAATAAATAATAAATTAAAAAGAGTGATGTTGTATAAAATTCAAAATAAAATAGTTTGGCATGATTTTATGTTTGTAACCTTTAAACTCCTAAAATTTTGCCAAGAAGGAAAACTTTAACCCCTTAGAATCCCAGGCTTTATACATACTGAGGCTTTTTATTCAGTAACTACAGGGACTTGAGTGCAAATTGGCTGAGCCAATCTCGGGTTAAAAGTGTGTTACAAAACTTTGGGCGTGCCGGTGGGCCCTCACCATTTAAGGGGTGAAAAACTTTTGTCCATAAATATTGATTTCCTCAAATGTCATGTAAGGCGCAACCAACAACAAAGTCTTAGACAATTTTTTTAACAAACTGGCAGTGTACTGCATTATAAAGAAGACCCTAAGTGACCTTCATGGTGCAATACCAAGGTTAGTAGCCCTTTAACAAATACAGAAAAATTTGTCATTTTTCAGTCCTGGTTAGGTTAGTTCAGTAAACCAAACCAGGTGGTGTGAGCCCAGACAACATTGAAAACTTTTATTTATTTTTTAAAATATGTGTTTTGTTCAATAGTTTATAACTTTCATAGCTCAAAGACAAAGGTTTACATGGATGTAGGACAAAAAATATTTTAGATATGTTTTCAGGAGTCTTTAATAATTTAAAATCTATGTTTAAAAACAGAGTGGTAGCACCACTTGACATTTTCTAGGTGATAAAATTCATTGTCCTGTTTAAAAATACATATCTATTATCGTACTGAAATCCCTTATTTGTCATTGACCCATAGTACTACAGTTAACCTATCACTATGGATTTTAAGGTTCAATTACTTACACAAATAGTAGGAACTGGTGTGGATCTTAATTGTAAAAAGTTGGGGCTTGGGAAAAAAGTGAAAACCCAACAGGGCTCTTCTTGGCATCCTAATGCTGTTCTCTGACTTTGATGAAGGCTGTTGTGCCACTGAAATGCTGCAAAGATTTTTAATGAAGATATACAAAGAGTTCTTTGTCCCGCAGCAAATGAGTGGGTATAAAATGTGAATCAAGTTTTCTCCTTTGGCTGGATGATATTTTTGCTACAAGAACACACACAGTGTTATTCATTTGACAGTAAATAAGCAGTGACAAAATACAGCACAAAAAAAAGACTGCAGTCATCTTGTCACAGTTTATCATAAAACCTCAAATGCAGTCGACTTCATTGAGTATTTTCACAACATTCCAGAATCCATAAGCACAGCAGATTTGCCATTTTCCTTCAACTCAAAACAGTGAATAGTAAAACAGACACACCATCATTTCCTATCAGCAATCAGTACCCTAAATTCTATTAAGTGTTTGTGGAGGGGAGGTGGAGGGCTGGAGGCATGCAAGGACACATGCAGTATGGTATTCTTTTCAGTAAACGGTGAATGAAGTGTGAACAGAGAAAAAAAGTAAGCTAAGCACAAAAGTAAGCACAGTACCATCTAAAATCTTGTTCTTAAAAGCCTAACATCTATTACAGACATCAAAAAGTTTAATGCAAGGTTCCTACTATTGCGCTTTGCAACCTGAACTTGACGTGACTCCAAAGCCAGCAGATTGCAAGCGACTCTTCATCTGAAAGAAAACAACCAATCAGATAAAGCACACAGCCAACAGCACATCATTCACCACAAAGCTACATTACGCTCATTTGCTTTTACTATCATCAGACCAAACCAGACTCACATTTTGTCAGTGGGACTGGTGAACACTAGGGCTGAAAGATGAATCCCTTTTTTATCAAAATCCCATTTGAAGGAGTGCAATTTTCAAACTGCAAGAGCTGCGATTTCAATTATAGCCTATATTATCAACAACATTGTCTTAACAGGTAAAAAGAAAAACCCCAGTTGCTGAAAATGTGTTCTGGTAATAACATAAAATTCCAAAATACATAGTTTACAAAATCTAGTAAAATCAATTAAATCATTCAAGTTTATTTTAAATTATTTAGCCAGGTGTCATTGTTTATGTATTCAAAAAATTGGTTAAGATATTTTCTGGAAATCGTTCAGCCCTAGTAAATACTGAAGTAATTCTTAGTGGCCTAAAATTAGGTTAAAAAATAGGATAAAAATCAGCCTTGAAAATCAGCTCCATATGGGTAAACAACTCTGTCTAGACCATAATGGTGGCAATATTTGGCTGGTGTATTCAGCTGATTATTCTGAACATAAGTAATTAAAACAGTCAAGGTGAACTGTGATATAATTTCACATGCAGTCACTAGAGTGTTTATACTCAGTATAAATTTGGAAACTGTAAAAAATAACACTGATACATGCAGCCAAATGACTGAAACCTGTTTAAGTTGCCTGTATAAAGGCAAATATTTAGTAGATCACTGATTTAAAAAAAGATCATAGGGCAAAAGTTGATGGTGGTATTGCTTTAGGTTGTATCATGACTTTTTTGAGAGATCAGGGACAGACCTGAAACAACACTGCTGCCATTCCACAGCTCTGACTGTGTAAGGTTTACTTATAGAGAGCATGTTAAACGTTCTAAGCATGCTGAAGTGTATTCCTAAGGTCTACTAAGTGCAGTCCTCTTGTAGATGAAGCGTCCTGTTGTTCTGAATTGGGGCTTCAAAAACAACCATTTGTAGCTGTTTCATGATTCACATCCAAAGCAGCATTTTCAGCACAAATAAAGCAGACAGGGCATAAACATGGACAGAACATCAGGAATTACACATCAACTCCATACAAAAAATCCCACATATATGTTACTAAAGTCCGGCTAAATTCCGGAGACCCTGTTCAGCACAGATAGAAGGCACAGGCTCAGGTTCACTGAATTAAATGCTGAATTTCTGGAATGCTGGCTAATCAGTGCCAGGCATGGGTGCTCAAGTTCTGTAACTGAACTCAGGCGTTACCTGGTAACGGCTACTGACCAAGAGCTAGATTAATGAAAACTAATTATAGAATGTGATCCTCTTTAGCTATTACTGATATAGTGTTTGGGGGTGGACTTTAGGGATGCACCATCAGATTTAGCCAAGAGAATCAGAAAAAACACTCCAAACATGCAATCAGTCAATTTATATAGTTATTATTTTTATTTTGGCTGACCTGTGTCGCAAATTTAAGATGCTTGATAATGTGAGCCAGGTAAGCCAGTGTAAGCTCTGGGTTAAAAAGGCGAATAAAAATCAGCCAAAAAAAATGAACTGGCTGTGAAGAAATCAGAATCTGAATCAGTCATGAAATTTAATTATCACACTGTTAAAGCACGGCTCTTTGGGGCCACGGCAGAGCTGTCCTCGGCACGTTAACGTCCGAGTGGGCTTCACGTGTTTGTGTCACTCCTTAATCGCCACAATCCTTAGTCAGTGACAACATTGGGAAAACAATACATATGACAGAATGCTCTCCAGCAGTAACCCAACATTGAAAACCACAGCACGACGGTCAGAGGCACTGTCACTTAAAATGAGGGTGAATGTGTAGATGCTGAGAATGGAGCAATGCAAGTAAACCGTACCGGAGGATGGAGTTAGCAGGATCATGGTGGCTCTTAGCGTCTCTACACACAGCACAGCAGCTGGAAACAAACAAGAAGAGGATGGAGTGACCAGTCAGAACATTAATAACTGCCTTGATTACACATTTTTTAAAAGATCCATAAGCAACTAAATAGTTTAGTGTTGTAAGATGACAGTGCGTTCCACTCTGGAGGCAGCTGCCTAACAAGTCACTGCCTTTAAAGGCACCTCTCTCTTTGGGCAGCATTTAAACCGATTAGGAACCATAGTAGGCATCGCATTCAGGACCCTCGATAGAACCATCATAACTTTCACTGAGCTGTACCCGTTTTAGCTGTTTACATGCTGTAAAGGCAGATAACCTCAGTGTATAAAGATGACTCCCGAATCTGCAGCAGCTGTTTTCCTTACATTGACACTGTTGTGGGAATTTATGGTGCATGAACAACAGGCTGCTTTAAGGAATCATTATCTGTCATTATTCACTTGGCGTCCCAGATAAATACAGATAATTGTGAATACTAGTTTGTAAATCATTTCAGTTCACTACTGTCCACTATCCTTGGCCTTTAATACTCTTTGATGGAACTCCCTGCCGGTGAACAGTATTATGGGCTTGCCTTTGCCGAGAAGGGTGCGATGCTGCCTTCAGATCTGGTCAGAATAAGGCACCTCAGAAGACAGCTGGCTCATGCTGCCTTCCGAATGGGACATCTTTTGTCTCGGGAGCGTTCAAATGTTGCCTTAAATACTGCCTAGTAGACAGCTGCCTCCTGATTGGACAGCACCACATATCATGTTGGTCTATTTGTTCCTTGAGTGGAGACAAAGTCCAATGTCATTCTGCACTGCCGTTTCACTTTTTCCTTTCTTAACATCTAAGATCGATATAAAGGAGTCTGTGATATATGTGACAGAGCACTTGGGCTTCTTTCTCCACAGCTTAGAAAAACTGCCAATAGTGCCATTTACTGTTTTACATGGAACTGACCGCTTTGTTTTCACACTTTCATAAAAAAGAGCCAAATTAATGCTTTAACGACTGCACAAAACAGCTCCAACAGACAGAGAGTTCATATTAAAGTATTCGCAGAGCACTTTCTCTTTAAGCTCTCAGGGTTCACTGGATTACATAACGTCAGCTAATGGACTCAAACGTGAGAGTCCAGTGTTAATGAATGTACCTCTCTGCGCAGTGAGTCCTGGAAATCTCCAGACGTTATAAAGTAATAAAAGTAAGTACATCATTACGACATCTAAACACCTTTACGAGGACATCTTCACATAAAAGCGACTTTCTTATTCGCCACCTTCTTATCCGAAATTTCCCGCTCCACCTTAAACGGTCCCGCAGGTCCATTCTGTCTCCTGCTCAGCCACAGGAATGAGGCTGCTGCGCGATTTAAGGTGGAACGGAAAATTTGAATAAAGTGCCTAAATGTAATCATAAAAAAGACATTTAGTCAACTTAGGTACAACATATAATGGTTAAAAGAGAAACATATGACATATATTTATCTTTTTTTTCGCTTTTTTTGCACTTTTGGTCTCCGGTGAGGTACCTCTGCATTGGAGCGCGCGGTCCGTTTTTCCCTCCTCAGCAGGCCCACCAGAGACGGTTAGCAAGGAGGCTAACGGTCGCGCGACATCTTAAAACTCTGAGACACTTTATATCCCAAAAAAAATAACTGTATGGCCAAATATCTAGACATTTCTTTAAATTTTAGCTACATTTCTGAGGCAAATTCGGCCAAAAAAGTGTCTCGAAATCGAAATGCGTCATTAACGGTGTAATTCAGCTCACAAGCTATGTCAACATCTAAACTGTCTCTGAGGCAGAACTGCCTTATTTTCGCCATGGTGTGAGGAGCTAGTTCACAACTTCTGATGTGAAACTTACCTGCAAATAACGTTACAGGCAAGGATGCGAATCGAACCGGGGGCTGAACAGAAGACTTGAGGAGGGCTTAATGTCTTCGACCAGAAAAAAAAAATAATTTATATTTCCTATGTTTACAGTATGCAGCTGTTTCCCCGCTGATAAAACACCTTTTACTGCACGATAATGACACAAAACATGCCTCTCATCACCTGCCGGAGAAAACGGGACGCGCAGTTTCAGCGCGACTCTTTTTAAAGCCACTATTCGCTGGAATATTCCACCGGATATGACGTCTCGAGTTTTTCTAGATATTTCTAAGTTTTTTTTATACAGTTCATGGAGAATAAACAAAATAAGACAGAGAGTAGATACACATCGCCGCGGACAAAGTTCAGACAGCGATGTTGGAAAAGATGTCACAACACAAACACAACAAGCCAGGAGGTCCCGGTACAGCACGGCGGAACAGCTGGCTTTATATTAGAGATATTACACGTTCGCACTTCGGATGTCGACAGCGTTTAGAGAGAACATTTGACGAGATTTACACTTGCATGTTCCTGCTCAACAGACCACCATCTCAGGACTGCACTATTTATTTTTACGCTAGTTGCTTTTTGTAAGAAATTCTCAACACATTTTCAGCGAGTTGAGTGATGCATTAAGCGGATCTGCGCGTACATAAGTAAGGCACCGTCGTCAAACTGCGTGTCCTTATGTACAATGGTTGTTCTGAACGTCAAAAACTCAACAGCGTCTATAATGTAGGTCCAGCTGAAGCCCAAGCAATCAACACCTTCCTGTAATTGTGACTTACTATAGGTGCAGAATTTATACGAAGTATTGTGTTAATTTATGATTAATATTCTATACTCATGAAAATCAAAAAATCAGTAGCTTCTTTGTTGTAGGGCCCAAACTAAGTAAGGCCTAACATTTTACAAACAAATGCGTTAAAGTGTGCCCTATTATTGGAATTTACTACAAGTAAAATTCAAATTGTGTTAAAGTTTAAAACATCTGTCAAACACAATAATCATTAGTTTCTTTACTCTAGGGCCTACAACTATAAAACTAAATGCATTACAGACTATTATTGATACTACAGGAAGCAGAATTTGAAGAAAGCCTTGTGTTATAAGCATTAAAAACTCAATAAATTCTTTACTATAGGGCTCAAAATTGTAAATCCAAATGCATTAAAAAATAATTTATTGCTGTTTTCACAGTAATTAAGACCCTCCTGTAATTGTACCATACTACAGCACCAGAATTAGAATTAAGTGTTGTGTTGATTTATAATTAAAATTCTATACACATAAAATACAAAATAGCTTCTTTACTGTAGGGCCTAGCATTTTAAATCCAAAAACATTATAGCACTAATTTAACACTAGACTTCTACTTGCTGTAATAAATTGTATTGACGATAAGCTTTTTCATGTGTTTGGTTTTACAATTTTGGTCCCTACAGTAAAGAAGCTATTATTTTATTATATATGTATGGAATATTAGTGATAAATCAGCACAACACTTAATTCTAATTCTGGTGCTGTAGTATGGTACAATTACAGGAGGGTCTTAATTGCTGTAAAAACAGCAATAAATTAATGCTTTAAAGCATTTGGATTGACAATTTTGAGCCCTGTAGTAACGCAGCTATTGGGTTTTTGATGTTTAAAACACAACACAAGGCTTTCTTCAAATTCTGCTTGCTGTTGCATCAATAATAGTCTGTAGTGCATTTAGTTTTATAGTTGTAGGCCCTAGAGTAAAGAAACTAATGATTATTGTTTTTGACAGATGTTTTACACTTTGACACAATTAAAATTTTACTTGTAGTAAATTCCAATAATGGGGCACACTTTAATGCATTGGTTGTAAAATGTCAGGCCTTACAGTAAAGAGGCTATTTATTTTTTTAATGTTAATAACATTAATTAAAACTAGAGTTTATAGGCTTGCTATAGTTAGCTGGAATGATAGCACAGTCTGTAATGCCTTCTGTTTTACAAGTTTGGGCCCTACAATAAAAAAAGCTATTGATTTTTTTATTATATGATTATATATAAAATGATAATTATAAATTAACACAATACTTAGTGTAAATTCTGCACCTGTAATAAGTTACAGTTACAGGAAGGTCTTAATTGCTTGGGTTTCAGCTGCGCTGCGTTATAGACGCTATTGAGATTTTGACCCTTAGAACAAGACTTGTACATTAGGACACGCACTTTGACGACGGTCCCTTACTCATGCACGCGCAGATCCGCTTAATGCATCATTCAGTTCGGGAAAATGTGTTGAGAATTTCTTACAAAAAGCAGTCAAAGTAAAAAGCACTAGTGCCGTCCTGAGATCGCGGTCTGTGGAGAAGGAATATGCCAGTGTAAATCTCGTCATATGTTCTCTATAAACGCTGTTGACATCCGAAGTGCGAATGTGTGTCGGATCTCGAATATGAACCCAGCTGTTCCGCGCTCAGTAAAGCCAAACAAGAGAGAAAGGAGGTTTTAAAAAATGAAATGAGAGCAAAGTAAGGTAAGTTAACAAAGCAAAGATTGAAATATAGATGTATACAACTTTTTAACGTTTCTATGAATTTTTCCCATATTTTGCAGTGATTTAACATAGTTGCAAAAATTGTATGTAAGACTGCAGTGAAGGAGGGAGTAAAGCCATTCCACTCACAAGTAAGTATATAATATTTATCCAACATAATCACAAGATTTGCAGACTTACATCTGAAATGTCAGTTTCCAAGTTGTCCATAAAGTAGATTATATCATCGGAAGTAAATGGAGGAACGTAGTCCATTTTTAATGACAACTAAGTATGAATATCAGACCAAAGCAAGTGAATATACGAGATGCGACATGTAGACAATGGGATGCAGTGCCCCTCATGATACTTCCTGAGGAGTGGACAGTGGGAAGCAGTGCTCCTCACCCTGCTTCCTGAGGAGTGGATAGGAGTGCACTATAATTGTGACCATATGAGCATTTAAAAAATAGATGGTTAATACTTTCAGCCTCTGTAGAACAAAAGATGCAAGGATCCACTTCAAATTTACATAATGTATGTAAAATTCACTAAAAGGGTAAACTGCTGATACTATTTTAAAATGGGTTTCTTTAACATTCGGAGCAATACGACATGTTATATAAAAGGAAAAGGACTTCCGCCTTAAAGGAACCGTTAAATCATCCCGTACAAAACATGAAATAAAGTTCCCTAAAACTTTCTCTTTGAAAACTAAACAAACTATTCTATTATCACACTGTTCCAACAAATGAACAGTACCAACTTTTAGAGAAGGCACAGGAGATACAATCACAGAAAATGCATACCCTTTTCTTAAAACAGTAATTTTATACTTTCTAGTAAAATCTTCATAGGATAATAAGTGACCATCTGAACTCAATAAATCATAAACAAATGTTACTCCATTGTTGTACCAATTAGCTTTAAAAATGGATTTTCTATTAACGTTAATAACCTTGTTGTACCACAATAAAGAATTGTGTGGTTAAAATGTGGGTACATCATTTTACCAAAATGCAAGCTTGTTCGTGTAAGTCAGACAGCTTTACAGGAATTTTAGACATCTTAAAGTCAATCACTCCAACCTTCCTAAATACTTTATTTGCAATATGGTACCACATAGATTGAGGTTGGGAATACTTTCTTTTAGTCATTTGACTCTAAAAGCTGCAATTACAGATTCAAACTCCACAGCTCTTAAAACCCCACCAACATAATCCCTGACTAATTGTGATCTGTGTAGGTAGTGAGTTTTGTTCTTCCATGTGAATTTAAATAATATGGATTTGGATGACTTTATCACTTTTGGTGAAATGTATAACAAATTCAACGCAAGCCTTGATAGGTCCTTTCATACGCTAGTGATTTAATGATTTCTGTCCAGCTTCCAACCTGGGAGTGATGATTCCTGAGAGGTAGACAGTGGGATGCAGGGCTCCTCACCCTAATTCCTTAAGAATGGACAGTAAGATGCAGTGCTCCTCACCCTAATTCCTGAGGAGTAGACAGTGTGATGAAGGGCTCCTCACCCTAATTCCTGAGGAGTGGACAGTGGGATGCAGTGCTCCTCACCCTTATTCCTGAATGGTGGACAGTGGGACGCAGTGCCTCACCCTAATTCCTGAGGAGTGGACAGTGGGATGCAGTGCTCCTCACCCTTATTCCTGAATGGTGGACAGTGGGACGCAGTGCCTCACCCTAATTCCTGAGGAGTGGATAGTGGGACGCAGTGCTCCTCACCCAAATTCCTGAGGACTGGGCGGTGGGATGCAGGGCTCCTCACCGTGATTCCTGAGAGGTGGACAGTGTGATGCAGTGCTCCTTACCTTAATTCCTGAGGAGCGAACAGTGGGATGCAAGGCTCCTCACCCTGATTCCTGAGAGGTGGACGCTTGACCACTCACACAGTTGTGTATATTTTAGTCCACTGGTCGCTATCCTTACCTGCAGATCTGCCTTTCTGCAGACTTTAGCTCCAGCACTACCCCACCCCACTTGACCTGTCTTGTTATTGCCCTCAGTAATCCTTGATTAGCTGAATGAGGCATGTTAGTTTTATGCTGGAGGTGAACTGTAGGTCTTTGGTGACCACTAGTTTGGTCTGTTTTTATTTATACAGGGAGATTCACCCGAAAGAGGCCCCGAACATTCTGTTGTAACTCCCGTTAGGACGAAGCAATCTGAACCAAAAAAATACGCTGCATACCTTGACGTATGTGTAATCGATTGCATTTTCTGCCAGACACAAGAAGGGGTATGGGGGTGTGCACCCGGACGTTAAACGTCACAACGGCTGTCCGGCACCTGCCTCATCGCTCCGAAGCAGGGGCATCCCGGCTTGTTCGAAGCTCCATATACTGAGGATCACATTGCACATTGCATCATTCACATTGCTTTGTCCTAGTGAGAGTTATTACAGAATATTTGGGGCCTCTTTCGAGCGAATCTCCCTGTACATGTTATCATTGTCTAGTTTCCTTTGCAAATCTATACAAAGTTAGCAGGTGTAAAAAGTTTTGCACAGGCAAAGTGGTCCTCCCTATGATTTTTATCCTTCTTTTTCTATTGCATTTTTATGTTTAATACAGTCTGCACCACTTAACATACTGACTCTTTTCAAACTTTGTTTTGTAGATCAGTTTAGCAAGAGGTACTGCACACTGCCCTCCCTTTGTCCTTTTATGCTGATAATCTTATCTTTACCTTTTAATATTAATCTGAAAAGTGAAAAATGTTTGCTCGCATATTTCATATTGCATATGCTTACTTTCTTTGGTAGATCACTGTAGATCACCTTACATCACTGTAAGGATAGAGGGGTAGAATCTATGGGAGTTATATGCAAAGTTGTAGCCTGTCTACTGTAAAAAACATATAATAAGAAAGAAGTTGAAGTACAGTGTTTGTGTGATTTGGATTGATGAAATACTTTTGTTCATTTGACCTATTTGACTTTGCTTTGTTTCTATCAAAGTGCTTATGTTAAACTGCTTGTAAACACATAAAGTACGTTTAACTGCCTAAACAGTTTTTTACAGTGAACATTGTAATGCATGTCTTTTGTTATAATTAATGTGCACTTAACTCCTGGAATGACTGTACTACATGAAAAATAGAACTCAGGTTTGATCTGTGTTTAATTTTGAATAGGATATTTCTATTAGCTGGGCAAAATGTTGACTTCATGTGAGCATTTAACACACTGCAAATCTGACCATTGACAAAAATGTAATAATGTAGGGGTAGGCCACCCACAATGCACTGTCCAGGCAAGAATGAAGGAAGCCTTTCTGACAGCCTAACCTGTGAACCTATCTGAGCCTGTCTGTATATTGGTATTTTTAGTTTTACAGTTGAGGCACATTTCCTGAAGTGGTGCCCCTGCTTTCTCGAAACACACTGCACCAGTGGATTTCAGTTCTAGTCTTGGAGATCCACTGTCCTGCACAGTTTATGATATTCTCTGTCTCTAACACACTTGACCCATCTAGAGTTATGAGTTGGATCACGTTTTGGTGTAGGAGTTGGTGAAACTATGCAGGGAAGTGGGTCCTCAGGACTGAGATTGGAAATGTGGACGATTTTCTACATGATTCTGAATGTAATCAGTGTGGCTGATTTAAGCCTGTGATTATTTCTTTTAATATATTATATTACTCACTTTTTGGAAATAATGGAGGAATGTGTGTGAAGTATTGGAAATCATCCTAAGAGACGCAGTATTTTTAGAACAGGTCAAGGACAACTAAAAGAAACAATGTATCTGAATGTTGATATTGTATGTTTATTCAAACATAATGGTATTTAATTAAGTCAGAATGTCATGTGACTGATAATTGGTAGTCAAATCAAGTGATATGAGGTAATTGGGAGGGGCGGGGAAGGAGTCATGTGATGACTCCTCTTTGGCCCAGAACTGTTTCAAAGAGGACTGAATTTTGTATGCACTTTAGTTGATTCTCAAGACAACTCAGATTAATGCTTGTCTGTTTGTTTGTGGATCCTTAATGTTCAATAAAAGATTGTATTTTTCTGCCACCCTTGGTGTTGGGATTCCTTTATTTTTTTAATCAGATGCAAGCAGTTTCCCGTTACAAAAATCGCTTCATTACACCATATTGACCCTACATTGAGTTGTCAGTTTATTAGATCCATCTGCCTTATACCTACACCTGGCCATTGTATCAGGTAGACATACCATATAGGCATTGTTTGTAGGTGTACATTTACAGACTGTAGCCAAACTGTTGCTACTTTATTAGCTCCCTTCTTCCCCATTCATCACTGGTTAGTTTCTGACCACAGGTCCAGATATTAGCTGGGTGGTGGTCCATTCTAAGCACAGCAGTGACACTGACAAATGTACAAATGTATCATATACAGCAGCGTCATTGCTAGGTTGAGTGGTCCACCACCTACAAATATCCAGCCAACAGTGATCCTGTGACAAGAAGCTATTTATAAAAATCTGGAGTACACACTTAAGATGGTTCTTCAAGTGTTCTTTAGTAAAGTCAGTAGTTCTATTTAGAACTATTTCATGATTAAATGGTTCTTTGCATGGTGAAATGGTTCTTCAGAAAGACGATTTCAAAAAATACGCTAAAATTGATGTGCAATAAAAAATACTGGTAGCTGTTTTCTCCAGCAACACTTGTTTGTTTTACAAAAAAGAGAAACTCTACGGTTTCTGCTATTCCTTAAAAACTTTATGCTGATGCAAGGACCGCAGATATACATAGGCCTCTTTTCCACTGTCGAGCCAAACAGTTCTCAGGGCCATACTGTGCGAACATGTCAAAACTTGTGAGACTGGTTACGGTTTATTTTTCCATCTGTTGTGCTGCTATATCAGAGCCAGGAAATCTAAACTGATTGGCTAACCGCTAACAGACTAATATCTACATACACACACCACCCACCACAAAACAAGTTTGATTCCGTCTGTCGAACACCAGCCTCTCTGCGTGTTATTCTTTATTCTTTAAACAGGTGTTATTTGAGCATCTGTTACTGGAACTGAGCCTTTACTGCGGTGGGCTTCACCCGTAGCTGGCGAACTACACTAGCATTAGCATCCCAAAGCAGGGTTTACCTCAAAGCACCACAGAGTATTCTAGACTAAGTCTATTTTTTATATTTCTGCCACTCCAACATTAGCCATTCCTATTTGTGCTCTCATATATGAGGCTTTATCCTCTCAACGGGTGTCATTAGGCATCAGTTCACTGGTACTAAGTCTGTACTGCAGTGGGAGGCACAGTACGCTTGCGTTAACTTGGCCTAGCAGCCTACAGCTTAAAACACTACAGAACCGGTATATCTGTCACTCCAACACCAATCTTTACACTTTGCTCTTGCTGAAATAAGTTTTTATCATCTGTACTTGTGATAGCAGAGCACCAGTTAGTCAAATCGAAACTGTCCTGGGGGGTTTGGATCTCTTTAGGTAAACTAAGTTAGCTAAGATAGAGGAGCAGCTAGTATAGGTTATCTTAGATAGGACGCTACAGCTCTAAACACCACAGAACAGGTTTAATTTTGGCTTTCTGTCCCTCCTACACCAGCCACCGGACGTTTCCTCAGATCTGAGTCATTATTATCTAAACTTGAATCGGGAAACCTTTTGTTAATCAGAATTGGACCTGTTCTGTGGTGAGCAGAGCTGGCAGCATGCTACGCTTGTGCTAATCACCTCCTGGTTATCGACGCAGTTTTACAATTAAAAATTGGTGTTAGATTTGATGTTTACTGAGTGGTGAATTTCAAATTGAGCCCTGCTTTCATTTATTTGGCGTCCATGTAAGTGAACTGAACCTATTTGATTGTTTGAAATAGCGCAGCAGGATGCTGTGGCACAATACCGACATAAACATAGAACCAATCAGTGAATAGATACGTTGTTATGTCATCCCACCAAATGTTTCTATAGCCGCAAGTATGGTTAGCTAACCGTGCCAAAAAAACACATTAAGTCTGGTTTTTAAGCATTCCATGTCGAGCCATGTCTGTGTGAAAAAGTTCTGCCCTGCAATGGAGAAAGGCCATAGTTGAACAGCGCAGCAGTATGAAGGTGATGGAACTAAATGCTCTTTGATTCATTTTCCCCCCAGCAAGTACCAAAATAACATGCTGAAATGAATAAAGGAACAGTGAGACTTTGGTTGCTTGTTGTGTTTTCCTGCTGTATTCCCATATGGGTTTTGTCCCAATGCAAAATTGTACATCAACCAACCCGATTCGGACTATGCATGCGCAGGAACACTGTAAAATGATATTGGAACTGACAAACCTTTGCTGCGTCTGATGTATTTAATGCCTCTAATAGTTCCCTCAAAGAAAGTGGTTATGAATACATTATCTGATGCCTGACATGATGTTTTTGGTAGTGAGATAGATAGTCTGTGCTGTCAGACAGTAAGGCAAAATAGAACCCAAAGAAAAACGTCTTATAGATTTACCATAATTTTATGATTATAATCTCAGGAACTTCACTGGTCATTTTGGATAACAAATAAAATGGCTATATTTGTAGACAATGTAGACATTGTGTCCCTCGTTCCTCTCTACCATTGTAAAGAATTCACTGTCATGATTCTGTCTGACTTTACAACACTGAGATTACAACTTAATGATTAATTTAAAATCTGGTGGAATTTCCTTTTTAAGTCATGTGATCATGAAAAATATGTTGCTCTGCTGCTGAGAAGTTAAATTATGATTACGAGAGTTACTGACCTATAAGACTGTCTTTTCACCGTTACACATGCATGTGTGAGCTCCTAGGCGACAGTGTCTCATTGACTGTAATTCAGCAGTCAGCCTCTGGGAGAGGAATTTGAGTCCCCACTCTTCATCTGTCCAGTTACTGGTTTACTCGTGAGTAAACTAACTCTCAATTAAAGACTAGTTAAGGACTGTTATAACATGCCACCTTCAAGGCAAGGCCGCTTGGTGATCTTCCTGTGCCTAAATAAAGTCCTGAAACCCATTAGACATCTGAACCAGACCCTGTAATCCTATGAACTGTCATCTGGAGTGATTTAACGTGAAAACTCCGTTCTAGAGTCAGAAGTGTACACAGTGGTGGCAAAATGAACCAAACATCCAAAGCATTCAATGCCTCCAAAAGCTTTTACATGTAATGGTTACAAACACACTGCCTGATGTCTGAGACATTGTTTTGGCAGACAGGTTGTGTTGTAAATCAAAATAGTCAACAAAGTTGGTAAGTTCTTCTACAATTAACCATTTCACATCAAAATACTCTGAATGACTTTGTTTACCTATCAACAATTGTAAATTTAATGAGGTAAAGTGACCAAAAGAGCAAAAGAGATGGAGACAATTTTGGCAGAGTATGCAGGTTGCAGCCAGGTTTGTACAGTGATGGAGGCGGACTGCAGTGACAGCGAGTCCTCAGCATTGAGAAGCTGCGACAAGCAACACAATGATACATGGCGGAGGAGCTCAAGGAGGAGACGATGTGCTGAGTGCCCCCCGAGTGAGTGTCAGCAGAGCGACTGTTGTGCTGGTGGTGCAGGAAGAGGGGACACTGAGCCTGGAAATGCCGCAAACCTAAGCCGGTGGGCAAACAGAAGCCAGCCAGGAAGATCGGCTACTCTGCGGACTTTGGGTTAAGTGCAACGTGGATGGAACGCAGCAGCTTCTGGTCGTGGTGTGGGGTCTAAGTCAAGTGCATGAGTTCTGGCTCATGCTTATACAGGATGCATGCATATTCGGTGTGGATTTCCTTGTGGCCGCCGGGGCCGTGCTTGGCTTCAGAAAGAAAACGCCGGGCTTGGAGACGGGACAAGCAAAGCTGGTTGCAGAGGCTAGCAGCGGAGCCAAGGCAGAGAGTCGGAGCTCCCTGGTAGCGTGGGTTTGGTCCCTGTGGGTGAAGCTCATAGTTCTGCAAGGGTTGAACATGCAATGCCAGAGCCAGTTGGTGGATATCTGGGGGCAGGATGCGTTGAGGGCACCATGGCTCTTTTGCGGGTGAGACCACCAATGTTGCAGGAGCTGAATATGCAGCTCAAGTGCCAGTGGATTGATCCCCGAGGGCTGTGGGGAAGATGGTGTTGGGTGTGGTGTATGTATGTGTGCTGGTACACTATATGTACCCTGCTTTATGTATGTATGTATACTGGTACACTATATGTACACTACTATATGTATGTATACTGGTACAGTAGGCCTAATGGTATACTTTTTTAATTACAAAAAGTAAGGAAATTTTTGTTTCCATGTTGTGGGTCCTTTAAGGGTTTCAGATGAGGGGTAGCTTTGAAGCATTCTGTGGAGTTCATCTCAGTTGTAATTGGATAACATGATGTGTTTTTGGCCTCAGTCACTGTTTTGCATTGCTGCGGGGCCTGGGATGATCTCGGTTAGAGACAGAATTAGCAGCAGATTTACAATTGTAGGAGTATGACTACAGCAGGGTTATGAGAATCATGGGGTTATGACTATAGTGGGGTCATAGTGGGACTATGACTATATTCTAGAACTTTGTAGATTAACAAGGTGTTTCCAGCAACTTGACAAACTGGATGAGGGGTGCTCATAAATAATGACTGAGTGAGTGTAATGTGATTCGTTTACTTTGTGAAGGAAAGGATAAAGATTCCAGTGATTAAATGTTTATTACCTCATTTGTTGGCCAAAATGATGAACAATATTATGTACAGCACTGTGCAAAAGTTAATTCATTTATTCAATTTTGAGTTAAAACAGCCATTAGATTTAAGATAATCCTCTTACATAAGTTTCAAACTTGAAGTTAAAAAAATGAGTTTCAGAGGAAAAGGGACTCCTAACAACCATCTGCAAACCTAGTAGAACTGTCACCATCAGATAAACAGCACATAAAGCTTTTGTCTTCAAGAGACAGAAAAAAAACAAGCTCCACTCTTGCTTCAGATCTGAAAAATCCACAGGTGTTTCTGTCCATTCTTCCACGGTGAGAAGAAAACTCAATGATGTGGGTCTGAAAGAA